CCAAAATCTGCCCACCTTGGGTGCCAAAATCTGCCCAACCTAAGGTTCCAAAATCCCCCCACCTCACATCCCAAAATCCCATCTCAGACCCCAAAATCCCCCAAAATCCCATCTCAGACCCCAAAATCTCCCAAAATCCCCCATCTCAGACCCCAAACCCCTCTTTCCTGTTCCTGTAGGGTTTTTCCTGCGCTGGGTCCAGCCCTGGCAGCAGCGGGACGAGGCGTGGGCACAGATCCAGATCCTGCTGGGGCACGACCCCAAAAACAGCATGGACAGCCCTGACCCCAAAAACGGGATGGACAGTCCTGACCCCAAAAACGGCACAGACAGCCCCAAAAACGGCATGGACAGCCCCAAAAATGGGACGGACAGTCCCAAAAACAGGACAGACAGCCCTGACCCCAAAAATGGCACGGGCAGTCCTGACCCCAAAAACGGCACAGAGAGCCCCAAAAACAGCATGGACAGCCTGAAAAATGGGACAGACAGCCCCAAAAACGCCATGGACAGTCCTGACCCCAAAAATGGCACGGACAGCCCCAAAAACGGCACGGACAGTCCTGACCCCAAAAACAGCACGGACAGTCCTGACCCCAAAAACAGCACGGACAGTCCTGACCCCAAAAATGGGATGGACAGCTCTGACCCCAAAAACAGAATGGACAGTGGGACATGAGAACGTATGGAAATCCTCGATGTCCCAGGATTTTGGGACAAGGTGACCCTGCTTTTTTTTTGGGATGATGTGATCCCGGATTTTTTTTTGGGATGAGGCGACGCTCCATTTTTTTTTTGAGGAAGAGATGACACCAAAAAACCCAAAACCCTCAAAAATAGGATAGGGGGGGGTGAATGGGGCAATTCAGGTGTTGGTGCCATTCCCAGTACAAAAATCCCATAAATGAGGGAATTCAGGTTCTGGTTCTGGTTCTGTTCCTACCACAGAAATCCCATAAATGGGGGAATTTGGGTCCTGGTTCCATTCCCAGCACAGAAATCCCATAAATGGGGGAATTCAGGAATGCTGGGGAAGCTGGAATGGGAATTTTGGGGTCACCAACCCCTCCTGGAACCCAAAAAAGAAAAAAAGGATCAATGGGACAGGGGGTGAATGGGGGAATTTAGGTTCTGGTTCCATTCCCAGCACAGAAATCCTATAAATGAGGAAATTCAGGTTCTGTTCCCATCATAAAAATCCCATAAATGGGAAAATTCAGGTTCTGGTTCTTTTTGATCCACATCAGAACAAAACAAAAAACCCCAAAAAAAACGAAGCGTTTCCCTCATGTTTAGAAAAAATTTTTATTTATTTCCAAATCTTTTTTTTTTCCAATAAAATCCATCCCCCGACCCCAAAACAAAAATTAAATAAATCTCTTTCCGGGAAYAATTTTAGGATTTTCCAAGGATCCTAAATGGGGTTGGAGGAGGGGGAATTTTCCTTTTCAGGCCTCGAACTCGAACTCGAAGTATTGGGGGTCGAAGTAGTGGATGCGCACGTAACCGTCCTCACCGCCGCTGCTGTAGCTGTGGGGTGGAAATCCCAAAAAAA